CTATCACTATACTTTGGAAAGTCTAGAAAAAAAAATATTCTTCTTGACTTTATTTTTAGCAATACGAAAACTCCTTAAGACTAATTATTGCTCTTGAAATATCTTCCGCCAGGTGCTCCTTTGATTTGCATGAAACAGATATGCAGCGATGATTGCATGTTTCATTGATACTTTAATGCAATCCTCACAACGTTTCATTTTCTTATGGCCTGATCCCTTTCTGCTAGCAAGTTACTAATACAAAAGCTACATTAGCAACTTGTTGCCACTTATGCATATTATCGCCCCTCCAACGAGAATATATTTCAGAACAGTTGCTTAAACGCTGTCAAACTAACTTTTATGAAGCACTTCTAGATGACTGAGATGAATTTTACAATTGTTTTCTAGTATCCTTAATGTAACTTAGATTACCTGTGGCTTTGCCATAAATACGTTCATGGCAATTCTTCCGATGAAGATTCCTCCATGTTGTCTAGACTTTATTTATTTAAACGCAGGAATAGATTGGTGGCAATTTTACAGTTAAAATGGTTAGATTTAACCGTAAGTTCTATGTTAATGTTTTCTTTTATCGCACTTCTCGTTTTTGAAACTCTCTTCCTTTTCCTTGCTTCCCAGTGAAATTTGATCCTCAAAAATTTAAATCTAATATCAGTGGTCATCTTTTATCTCCTTAATATCTATTCTTTTATTGTTGTCTCCCCTTAGTAGTATCTTTTTCTCATATTCTTTAGCACTCTTTAACCTCTCGATTCTTAGCAGCTTCATGACTTTGCTTGAGGTTAAAACATGACGTAAGATATGGTGCTGAATCGTAATAAAAGCGTTTCACATGCATACAACGAAGACATAGACACAAACATGGTATACTTTGATCTTAGGTGCTTTATTGCCGTTTTACATAATCGCCTTTCAAGTTCGAGGCTTAGATTATTGATTTTTTATTACGTTGAGGATGTTTACGTGAGACTGCTACCCAAATAAACACAGTCCTCGGCCATGCTTATACGTTCATTGTGTAGAAAGTTATTGATTTCATATAACGCTTTGACGGTTTTTGGTGAATGATATGCGCACTACAATTTTTAAACTTATAGTAAATCAAAGGGCAGAGCGAGATCTTGTGCACCAGACATCAGGCATTACCTATCCTCCCAAATATAAGACACAATATAGTAATTATTTTCATACAGCAAATTTCGCATAAATCTTGGGCTCACATTTAACACTGACATGAATAATGCTTAACATTATCAGAGTGCATAGTGCAAATATATAAATCTACCGTTCGTCAATACATTCTATACTACTGCCATATTATTTTAGCATACCAACGGACGATAATGGGTATATCCTCATTCAGATAAATATAGTAGTAAATACTGTATGTTGGTTGCATTTGGAGATTCTTAGACAGCTTTGTTGGTCAAACTCTCTGCTTCCGGTAAGTGAGGATCCTCAGACGAGGCTATGTCGAAGGGCAAAGTCTCTTCTCGGGAAACAGCTATTCGACCCTGTTTTATACGGGGTCTACGGGAATTTTTGTCCGAGCCTACAAGCTCTTTTACCCCACATTAAATTTGGCCTTGTGCCACATCTGACCGCGTGGGGCGGTTGGTATATATCCTGCTGTTGAAGATTCATTATACAATTAACTTGATTTACTTCTAGCAGTTGACTACCTCTTCTAAGTTCCGCTGGAGAATCTTATATGTGTTGTTATTGTCCTAAGTATTATAGTTCATTAACAACCTTAGTGCGATTATTCTATTCAGTACTCTTCCATAGGTTACAATATGTATCTAGTCTGGTGCTCTTGTTGTATATTTCGGGAGTCTTGACAAATTCCAACGCAATATCTCTAACGTAATCTATCCTGAGAATCTCGACATCAGTCATTTTTTTCACCGCCATGACAAGGCTTCCCTTCAAATATGTTCATAACACCTTTTCTGCTGGTTATTTTTATTTCTTTATTGTATCGACTACATGAATTTTTAGCGTCTTACTAGATTGGCAACTAGGTCGCTTGAACTAGATAGATGCAACCGCCACTTCGATTATAACAATTTATTTCCTCTTACTTCTCACATGTGGAAATCTCTTACAATTCCTTACTTCCATAAAATGGGCAATCTTCAGAAAATTAACGACAACCGTAATCACAATTAAATTAACTGCAACCTTAAACGCCATTAAATGTCGGGCTCCCATTTAACACTGACGTGGAATGGAGCGACTATATTGAATCAGTTTGTTACGTCAACTACTAGGAATGAGGTTTAACATTATCAGAATGATATTGCACATATATAAATCTTCCATTCGTCAATATATTCTAAACTACTGCCATATTGCTGTAGCATACTTACGAAAGATAATGGGCATGTCCACAGTCGCACAAATGCAGAAGTAAATACTGTATGTTGGTCTGCAGTTGGAGATTCGTCTCCAGCTGTGCTGGTCGAAGAACCCAGACGAGGCTATGCCGAAGGGCAGTCTCTTGTCTGGGGTGGTAGACAGCTACGCGACCCCGTTTTGACGGGGTCTAGGGGTAATTTTTTCCAGAGCCTACGGGCTCGGAAACCCCACTTTAAATTCGGCCTTGTGCCACATCTGAGCGCCTGAGGCGGTTGGCAAATATCCTGCAGCTGGAGATTCTTCTCCAGCTGTGCTAGTCGAACTCTCTGTCTTCGGGCAGAGAGGAACCCAGGGCAGAGTCTCGTCTGGGGTGGTGGGGTAGACAGCTACCCGAGCCCCATTTTTTACGGGGTCTACGGGGAAATTTTGCCTAAAATCGGAAACCCCACGTTAAATTCGGCCTTGTGCCATATCTGACCGCGTGTGGCGGTTGGCAAATATCATGCAGTTGGAGATTAAATTAACAGCAACCATATGCCATTAAATTAACTACAACCTTATTCGCCATTACATTAACTGCAAACTTAATCGCCATTAAATTAACCTCAACTTAATCGTCATTAAATTAACTGCAACCCTAATCGCCATTAAATTAACTTCAACCTTAATTGCCATTATATTATCTGCAACCATAATCGTCATTCTGTACCCTGTTCCTTTATTGTATTTTCCTCACTTCTCCTCCTTTATCTCTTCTTATTTTCTTTCACTATAATCCTCTGTGCCCGGGAAAAAAATGATCGCTTTACGTGGTTTGAAATGATTAAAAGTATGTGTGAAGATATACCGTATTGTCCAACTTTCTCCTGATATTTTAGACGTCTTAATATTTTAGGCACTTATACTCAGAAAGTTGATATTCTTTGGTCACAAAAGCGGATTTCTTGAGTATGGGACTCACTGTACATATTAAAGGCAAGAGTAGAAGAGGGAATCAGCAATTTATCAGGAAAACACGTAAACATATATCTGAAAGGGGATTTACAGCTACAAATAATAGGAACATCTGTAGAACTATAATTACCTAAGTGCTGAAGGAACATGTCACGTTAAGACAGGGAAAAAGATAAATTGAAAATTGGATTTTGACTGACATCGTTTAAATTTTGCCGACATTACAATGTAGTTTTGGCACAATGCCTCGTGTTGAACATATGTCTGTCAACACCTCAAGATGATTCAAAAACCCATACTTAATGAATCGATTTAACTCATGGCACTGAATTACTATTCCATTTTTATGAATTAACGGAATGATTTAAACATTGAAAACATGTTGGTTTATCTAAGTGATGTTTGGATTCGTATTCTCCATGCTTTCTTTCTCTCTGCAACAAAATATTCCTGTTTCTTTCTTTTGTCGACAGAATAATGCTAGTTTCTTTCTTTTTCAAGAAAATATTTTTTTATTTTTTTTCCACATAATATTGCTTTTCCTTTCTTTCGAGTCTTTTATTCAGTTTTCTTTCTTTCTTTTTTTCAATACCATATTACTTTTTATTGTTTTCTTTCTTTTCTTCTAACAGCATATTTCTTACGTTCAATTTTTAACGCAATATTATTTTTCCTTTGTCTCTTTTTGAAACATTATTTCTTTCTTTTCCTTTGTTTTTTTGTGTCTTTCTTTTCAGCACTTTTCCTTTTCACTTTTTTCTTTTTCAAAACTATATTCCGTTTTCTTACTTTCTTTCTTTTTAAATTTATATTCCTTTTTTTTCTTTCTTCAGCATTATATTCCTTTTTCTTACTTTTTTTTCAACAAAGCATTTTTTTCTTTCTTTCTTTTCCTTTCCTGTTCAACACTTTATTCCATTGTCTGCCTTTCCTTTTCCAACACAATTTTGTTTTTTCTTTTTTCCAACAAACTATCAGTATTTACTTTCTTTTTGCAACGAAATATTCTTTTTCTTTCTTTCTTTCTTTCTCAACGCAATATTCCTTTTCTTTCTTTCTTTTTCAACGTAATATTCTTTTTTTCTTTCTTTCATATTTCTTTCTTTTTTTCTTTCTTTCTCAACGCAATAATCCTTTGTCTTTCTTTCCTTCTTTTTCTTTCTTTTTCAAATTTATATTCTTTTTTTTTCTTTTTTCAGCATAATATTCATTTTTTTTACATTCTTTCTTTTTCAACAAAGCATTTTTACCTTTCTTTCTTTAGTCTTTCCTTTTCAACACTATATTCCTTTGCCTGCAATTCTTTTTCCAACAGAATATTTTTATTTTTCTTCCCAACACACTATCAGTATTTCCTTTCTTTTTCCAACGAAACTTTCCTTTTTCTTTCTTTTTTTCTTTTTCAACGCAATATTCCCTTTTCTTTCTTAATGCAATATTCTTTTTCTTTCTTTCTTTTTGAACACAATATTCTTTTTTCTTTCTTTCTTTCTTTCTTTCTTTTTCTTTCTTTATTTTTCAATGTGATCTTCCTTTTTCTTTCTTTCTTTTTCCACCACATTATCAGTTTTCCTTTCTTTTTTTCAACACAATATTCCCAATGTCATTATTTCTTTTACAACAAGATATTACTTCTCTTTATTTCTATTTTAAAGAGACTATTACTATTTCTTTTTTTTTAAATTTCCTACTTTCTTGCACAATATTTGAGTAGCTACCTTCTACTAGCTCTGTTACGTCGAAAGAAAATTTATTTTATTCATACGAAATAAATAGGAAAAATATCACACGTAACGCAATGTTATACAATCCATTGATTAACACCTATTAAAAAAGACAAAAAAGAGCGATTCACTCCTTTTTCTATACGTAATATGTACGTCAAACAGACTCCGAACGGAGACGGAGACGTAACAACAACAAAAGCGATATTAATACGATCAGTCTAGCGAACAGTTACGGAACGGTAATTGCTCATGTCAAATTTTCGAAAACGATCGCTATTTGAATTCATGAGCAATTGGATTTAATACACTTCACATAATATTGATTTATATTTTACGAAACATTTAAAGAATATTCTTTGAAAAGCCATTTCTGCAGTTATTTTTAATTTTGATACATAAAATTAATGTATTCTTTACGCGTCGAGCAGAATAGAAGAGAAAAGGTAGAAATTGAAAACACATTTAGAGAATAGGAAACCCTGCATGGATGACAACAAATCATTTTGTAATGTAAATAGATATCTAAATAGATATGAACAATCTGAAATCATGTTGAAAAATTCAATATAAATGTAATTTACACATCAATGGGCGTAACATGACTAGAACTTTGGATATACGCTTAAAAGATCTCAAAATAAATACTCATCAAATTGGAAAGCAATGAAATGCATACAGAAAAGCTGGAAAGGAAAAATACAACAAGTATTTTGAAAAAATCATTAAAAATATAAATATTATCCCCCCAAATATCGAAAACTCCAAAATATAATATTAATAATGCATAACAAATTAATAAATAAAACGAGATGCTTTTTTAAAATATGTAATTTAAAATGTACTAATAGATTAGTAAAATATATGATGAAAATTCAAAAAAGAAAAATAATCGTTTTAAAGAGTCAAAAGAAACCATTTATGGAAAACCTAGAAGACAATAACAGAGTTAATTAAAAACGTGTGAAAAAATACAATAAACTAAAAAAAATATGGTGCGAAAAATCATAGTATAAATAAGGGGAGAGAACCCTGATAAAATAAGGTGGGTTAACTCACATATAAATAAGGTGTGAAAGGCATGCTAAAATTATATTTGCGTAAAATCATTTTAAAATATGGTGTAAAAATCATAATAAAATAATGTGTATAAAAACATATTAAAATATGGTGTGAAAAATTATTTTAAAATAGGGAGTGAAAAATATCGTAAAAAGATGGGGTGGATTAAATCAACAAATATAGTGTATAAGGCATAATAAAAATATATATATATATATATATATATATATATATATATATATATATATATATATATATATATATATATATATATATATATATATATATAATAAGCACAAATAGATCCATTTTAGAAAAAAAACACCAATAAGCAAAAGTAGATCTATTTTTAGAAAAAAACACCAATAAGCAAACTTCGATCTATTTTTAGAAAAATTACCGAGTTTGTCTGATGGTTGCAAATGTGTGAAACCCAGGGTTACAAACTATATATTCATACAACACAATTAATTTTATCAGTGACTTTCAAAGTTGAACCGTCAACATTATTATAGATTTTAGTGTAATTATTTTTAATTGAAGTGTCATAATCCTTAGTAAATGACTCATAAAAATTAGCCGTTTTGTCAGATTTAACATAAATTTTTTACATCGTTTACAATATTATCCAGATATTTTAAAAAAATACTCCTTATTTGTATGAAAGATTAATCAACTGATCATTCCCAATAGTTCATTTTCAAACCACGACAGATCCTCAATATGTCGTGCTGTTTGTAAACTATTAAAAAAAAACCCATAATTTTCATAGTTGTAGGAGTCGTCCTGGGAAAGAAGCTATAAATGGGCCTTGCATATGATTCTTCTAATAAGTTCTTAAATTTGTAGGGCCAATTGCAGGAAATAATCCCGTTTATTTATAGTGGGAATGTTCTTTAAAGATGTTCCGATATTTTTTCTATTCATAATAGAAAGATAGAGTGGACCGTGCTTAACTATAATAGAAGCTAATGTGTATCGATCAGAGATACATTTTTCATCTTTACTGATAAATTGGCACTTGTCTGAGATCAATAAAATATACTTTTTCTCCTAGTTTCATTAATAAAAAATTTTGGTATAATATGAAACCTGTTGCTCGGTTAAATTTAGAAATTAACATTTGAAATTTGTATTTTTTATTTTTAAATGTAACTGTTAACTTAAAATTTAATTTTTATATAGATATCTAATTGAAACTAATCTTAAATTTATTGCACTAATAGATTATACGTATACAAGATTATGTTGTCATATTATTTTAAATTCCCATATGTTTGTGGTCTGATTGGTCATCATAAGTTACGTAACTAAGTTTCCCCTGCTGAGAAGGCTTGGTTGGTCTTTTAACTCTTAAAACGTTTATTTCCATTCAACATTATCACTTCACAAGACACCATAAGTGTCGAAACAAAATTGTAACTTTTTGTAGTGATGTATGTGTTTTATGACTTATGGTGTGCGTTAAAATATAGATCAATGTTAAGATAAACCAGTAACTACAAGCGCAAATAAATACTAAAAAAGAACAAAGAAGTAAAAGTTAACGAAAGATAATCAACCATTTATTTTAACAGAGCTGCTAGGCTGAACGTCCGGTAATTTCTAAATCGAAAGCCAAAATCATCGACGCACAGTAATTCGACTGGATAGTTCCCCTCAATAGTCACTCAATAATCACCGCAATCAGTTTCCTGACAGCTTTCAAAAAGCATATATTCGTAGTTCAGAGTCCAGATATAGCAACACGTTATACAGTGTAACCCGGATATAAGAGACCCGGATATAAGAGAAACCCGGTTATAAGAGAGATTTTCTCTGGTCCCAAATTAGAGCCTGTGTTAATGTATATAAAATAGACCAAACCCGGATATAAGAAAAACCCGGATATAAGAGACTTCTTCCGGTGCTGACAACTCTCTTATATCCGGGTTACACTGTAAATTTGAAGAAATATCATTTGCTCTACTCAGTATTGGACACTCTTAAAAAATTGCGTTCTTTTTTTTTTTTTGTTTTTGTTTTGGTTATTGCAATTTTATTCCATGTATACAAACTTCGATTTATATATATATATATATATATATATATATATATATATATATATATATATATATATATATATATATCAGAATGCTGGTAGACAGAAAAAATGCCACTGTAGGAATACTTTTAATAAATTATACAACGATACTTCATTTTAAACACAATTTTCCAAGCAGTGAGTTACGGCACACATTTACAAAAGTTAATATGCCACCAGTGAAATCCGACTCTAATAAAACAGAAATAAACCTCTTAGGTAATGGATTGTTAAAGCCGGTAGCACTCAGATGTCTTTGGAATGCGTCTGTTCAGCTATTCCTCTGAAGCAGGTAAATATTCAGAAAGGATCAATACTTTTTAGACAAAGTTAAGCAATGAACTTTCGTTGATCTTGTATGAAATGTTAGAACCAAACAGCAAGGGGATTGATTTTTTCTACGGCTTTTCAACACTTTGCAATAATTTACGGCCAGAAAATATTTACTATCCGAAGCTATAAGCCGCAATATGGCTGAACATTTACCCAAAGTTATATATATATATATATATATATATATATATATATATATATATATATATATATATATATGTGTGTGTGTGTGCGTTTACCGGGGGTAACAGCAAAATTGTCCACAATGGTTAACAATATGGTATAACTTTCCATCCCACAATATCGTTATTACATATAAAAAAAAACTCAACTAAACTAATTGTGTTTCTTTTTTCCATGTTTTCAGATAAGACTTTTAGCCATCTTGACATCATTTGTCGGAAGAATCACTGAAAAATCCTTTGAGTCATTCAGCTATAAAGGGAATCATTTAAAATCGTTTTGTGTCACCCTTCCCACTAGGTCTTCCCAACCCGGCAATGGTGAGTGGAAAAGATCATTCAGGCTTCCAGTTATGGTACCAACATTCATAATCTGACTTCCATTTTCAAAGTCCATTCCAAAACAATCCAGCGAAAGGTGAATATATATATATATATATATATATATATATATATATATATATATATATATATGTGTGTGTGTGTGTGTGTGTGTGTGTGTGTGTGTATATATATATATATATATATGCGTGTGTGTGTTTGTATGTGCATGAACACACTTAAATTCTAATGAATGATCCATCATTAAATTTACTGAATAAAATGCCAGTCATTTATACCGCCGCTGAAACTATCTGGCTCCTTCTGCCATGTACTCTATTTGAAAATACGTGTTCACTCGACTAAACGTGGGTTTCTGGTTGCCATCTTTGGTTGAGATATATAATCCGAGTTATTTCCCACACTACAATCATGTCTTAGATCCTCTTTTATAACTTACAAAAAATTCATACTATAAAAAACAACCTTTACTGACTCTTGTGACTGCTATTATGTGAACAATAATTTGATTACTACGTTTTGTTGAACCGTTATTTGATTATTACGTTTGGGTGTACCGTTGTTTGAACACATTGATTATTACGTATGGGTAAATATATGAAGATGTAGACAGTGAGAATTGCGAGATTCTGTTTCGCTAAATTATCCTCTTGATTAGCTTGAGGCAAAGAATATACACGAATAAGTATAACAAGTTATAGTAAAAAAAATCTCTTAACAGTATATTTCTATCAATGGATATCTTTTATGTTATCAAATAAAACTTCCTGAAATAAAATCTATATTTGTAATGCAAACTTCTACTGATGAAAGCAGGCATATTATGAAAGTTCTTACATGCCTTGAAGATGCTTCAACCGTTGTGTAAGCACACTTCTGAACTCATCATAACAAATACATTCAGATACATACGTTGCTTCATGCGATAAGGTGTGCATATTTTTAGCAAGTGTTTT